TATCTTTTCTTCTGGCTGTTTCTGTGTGAAAATTTTTGTTGGGTAAGCTGACAATATTAGCAAAATATTAATCTTTTAGGTTAGAGAATATACATTTTCAGACAAAGATGCAGCGATCTGAAGAAGTACTTCAAGCTCTCCAGGCTGCCCACTTTATAGATATATATCAGCGCTCTCCCCTGGTTGGTAACGCTCTCCCTTTGACGCAACAGATGTAAGTTTTTCATCTCTATCTCTGAACACCAGGTAAAGAGCCAGCACCAACTTTTTTTTTCTACTTGGTTCAGAGTTGACGATTACCAAGGAAGCAAAGAGTATGCCAGTGGAAACCTTGACCCTCTGTTTGTTGACGGATCCATGCTATCCTTTGACGAAGATGTCAAGGTGTTCAACATTGATCCGGCAGTAATGGGATCAAACGAAATTGTAAGTTGGTTTCACCCGAGGAATCGTCATTCTTGAGGCTGCCTAATGGAAAGCTTTCATGCAGCGTGAACACTAAAATTTCTGCGAGTCAGAACGTCTGAAAATCGGAAAAGATATTCTAATTTGCTTGCATACTTTATAAAACCAGTTATTGCCACATTTCATGCTTTTTGAGGCAAAACATTTCTCAGAGTTAAATACTTCTTTCATTCAATTTTTTACACCTTGAAAAGGATCAAGCTGACATTGTTCTTTCGCTTTTCTTTTCGATTTGTAACGAAGAGTATAGTACATACCCTGTACGTGCTGCCAGTTATAAGCAATATGATTTCTTTCGCTGTAGGTTCAGTGGGATGGTGACAGCGGAATGGTCAAATCTGGCCATGACGCTACCGACGCTTACTTGGGTTACGAGCCTCCCGATGATGTCGATGCAGTCACTTCTAGCGCAAATGCTTTCGATGGCGAAACTAAAGAGGAGGTAAAGTTGAGCTTGAGAATGCTTCCTGCTATCTATTTTACTACTGAAGACTTTGTATGGGGTTAGTAGTTTTTATTAGTATGACAACTCAGTCTTGTCATATATCACCAAAATTCACCACTTTGCCAAAATTTACTTTTGATAACGAATTTGCGACTCCATTAGCTCGCCTTTAGGCGTGTGCTTGAGTTGCATGATCAAGCCCAGTCGATAAATCATCGTTCGATCAGCTACCTTTATCTGCCTCTCACATACATTTTCGAATTCAGAAGCTGAAGCCATAGTTCACCTTTTACTATGATGAATATTACAGCTTCGCATATGTAACTTTTGAAGCTGTACCGGCGTCCCTAGCTGTACCTTTTTTGCTCCATACACAAGCTATTGAACACCCATTGAGATTTTTTCTTAAATGATCACGGTTGCCTGCTCGCCGAGATTCGGTACGCGAAATGCCGTGGTTTTAGCTTTTGCTAGCTAGTTCTTATCATCGACTCAAATAATGTACTTCTAACTATTCTCCAAAGTGTACTTGCGAGGAATTCGACAGCTGTTCACTGACAACTGAAATTCTACACTGGGGAACCTTGTACCTATCTCAAGTTGCATAACTTGTATAACTTGCATATGTTCAATTTGAATTAGTGTGCCTTTCTTTGGAGCACCCGGTGGACATAGCAATGGAAGGGTTGTTTTCAAAGTTTCAAGTTCATCTCTCCTGCGGTCAGAAACGTAATGGTGGAGGTCCATTTGTAAAGTTGCTAGCACGACATCTTACGTTCATCTGCAGGTTACGACTGGGTATATGCACAATCGCTGTTGGCAACAATCTGCAAAAAGAAAGAAGTAAAGATTATTGACAACATGTTATACACGCTTCCTCTGAGTACTTACATTTCTTTTCATTTAAGAAGATGTTCTATCCCCTCAAATACGCTTTATTCATAATAAACTACTTCTTGGGCCATCATTGAAAAATCTTGCATCATAGCGGATCCCGCGCGCCATATCAAACACAGTATCTTTTTCAAATATGCGCGTCCGCTGTTGCCCACTAAACGATATTGCAACTGGTTTATTAATATGCGGAATTTGCTGGAAAAGGACAGTTGCGAGCGTTTTTCGCCCTACTTTCTGATTTTATGTACTCCCATAACGCTTAAATAACCTTTGGAGCTAACGTTTGAGCAAGTAGTAGCTTGCAGTAGGAGATTATTTTTTCTACTAAAGATTTAACATCATGTATGATTCATGTAATCATTTAAGTTGGCCGCACAAATGTAATTTCAGATAAGTGTCAAACCAGGAACAAGTTGTAATCTGCAATCTTTACTGCACTCAGCGCAATACCCTAGCGTATCTATTTTGTTTCTATCACAAAAGAAATCTTCTAGTTGTTTCGGCGCTTAGAGTGCAAGTGTATCTCCATACTTCTTAGAAGATTGCTTGATCTGAATCGGTCGATCTTTGTAACCTTAGCGCAGAATCGGCTGATGGAGGGTACGCGGCGGTTGCTTGCGGCCACTTGTTAAGCCGAATTGGCGTAATTTGGCTCTACCTAGCACTACCGCTTTTTTTTCTTCCGACTTTGACTTGCTCTCTTTCTTTAGCTTGCGTTAGAGTTCTCAGAAGCCGCCACGAGTGTGCC